ATAAACATCGAGTTACCCCTTTTGCCACCTTTTTTAGTCCCAAATTAGTGTGCCGGTAAACCACACACGCTCCATTAACGACTTGGCAGGGTGCACAGTGTAATTTCATGAAATAACATCATTTCACATTTTTCCTAAAGTAACTAAGATTGGGAATTTGTAAAAATATTTAGTTACTTTATAGATCATTATACTTATTAATGAGGAATTGGTTGCCATATCCTACCCGTTCGGCTAACGACCCTCCACTAATCAAAAGTGCGGTGGGTACGAACTGGATACCCAATGGTGGTCATTTTATAAGTTGCTTCCTTAAACAACCCTTATAAACTAGCTTCATGAATGAGACCTACTAACGGTGAGACTAAATTTATCTTATACATATATATAATAATTAATCTTATAATATTATAATAGTATAATGGTCGCATTTTAAACTTGTAAAATTCTAGGATTTGGAATTTAAATATTTCAAAATTAAAACTCTTAATTAAAATTTTAAATCCCAAAACCCGAGGGCAAGTTTTGAAACTTTTCAAAACATCTTTTAGATCAAATTTGAAAAATAGTTAAATAATCATATTATTAATCTTTATCACATAAATTGACCGAATCTATTTTCTTTACAAGATAATTCAAATCAAAATACAAATAATTAATCTTTATCATATAAAACAAGTAGTTATCTTATTTATGACAATTATCTTTCAATTGTATTAGGTAACCAATACCATATTGGAAAAATCAAATTTTATCAGTCAAATTTTATTAGCCATCTGACGACCCGACTCGCCGAGTCACTGACTGGAATCGTTGAGTTGCCTTGAATCGTCAAGTTCATTAGGTGACTCAACGAGTTCATCATGCAGATGGACAAATTTTTGACTTTTTAGCTTTGAAAAAATTAGCAATGCATCAAATACAATAAAAAAATGATCTAGGCACTGATACCACTGTTGGATTATGAGCAAATCATCAATCATATGGTGCACATGCAAACCCTAAAGTTTTGGATCTAGGTTTTTCTATGTGTACATGCAATAATCATCCAAATCTTGTAAACCCTAATTCTAGCATACCAAAATCAAAAATACATCTAATAAACAAGCCAGAGTATCACCTTTGATTGTAGCTTGATGATCTTAAGCTTTTGAGAACCTAGCACGTCAAATGCGATGCCTCTAATGAATCACAAACACCAAGACAATTGGATAATCTTAGAGAGAGAGGGAGGAGGCTAAAAATTTGGCTAGCAATCCTTCTAGGGTTCAAGTGGCCGAAAATTAGATGCCCAAGGGGTCTTTATATAGGTGAGGAATTAGGGTTTTAGTCAAAGACCTAATCTGGTTGCTTAGGCTCTAAGCAACCTATAAGAATCTTCCAGAACCTTAGCCCTTGGACGAAATCCTTATGGACTCCTATATGATTTTTCCAACCCTTTCCAAAGGGTTCCTCAGCCCATTATGCAATTATCTTATAATCACAACTTCAGTTCCCTTGATTTAATTAATCTTTTTTTGACCAAAAATATAATTCTAAATTAATTATTGACCAATATTAATTAAAAACATGATTTCTTATTATTAATAAACTATAGTAACCTCTTTCTCCATTGTTCATCCAGTCAAGTTGCTTTGGTGAAGGCAACCCAAAAGGACCATGCTACCATCGAGTCAAGTACATACCAAATATAGTTATGTGCTTAGACACCTAATCCGACATTATTTGCTTAGATCTTGTTAGTCTACAGTTTGTGTGTATTTTTGGTCCTATAGTTTTGGTCTAATGGAGTATGAGCTACTCCAAGTCCTTGAAATGTAGTTTCATGTAGTTTTGAGCTCTTAGATTCATAAAAATGAGAGCTTGTACACTCTCAATAATCCTTGCAAAAGTTTTGGGACTTTGGGTGACTTTTGGACCAATGGTTTTAGTTTTTACCCTCTTGTATGCATGCAAATGGATAAAGTCAGAGACTTTATCCATTAAGATGTCCCTTTTTATCTGGATCTGAAGTTTGGTGCTTTTGCTTAATGAAATAAGAACTTACTGAAAAACTAGGGATTTAGCTTGGGTATATTGGTCATACATGGAGGTACGCTATGTATACCAGTGATCGAACTCATGATCTAGAAAAGCACCCTCTACACTGGATGTAGAGGGGAGTACACAAGGCGTACTCAGCCTAAAAGGAATCGTTGATTTTTTTACTTGACTTTGACCAAGTTTGACTTAGGGATATTTTAGGTATTTTGAGCAGTAGTTTGAGACTAGTTTGTTGTTTGTTGAATAAGTGACCTGTAGCGTTAACAGTTAGAGTTGTGATCTGTTCAGATATCTTTTTCAGACTGTGATGTGAGTTTTCCTCACTGTACTTGTGGGTCGAAGACATCAATGCCGACCTACTGGATTATGTATCATGATATATTGGATTGATGTTATGCTGGTTGTATGATAGATTGGTACATATGTATGATTACATGTGTTCACTGAGTATGTGTTAGACTGGTAGATCTGTATGATTACCTGTATTTGATGGTTATTATTTGTTATTGTATATGTCGACATGTTATGGTTGTGTTGGGTTGAGGCGATACTGCTTTGTGATGAAGGCCAATATACACTGGTCGGTTCAGATAGGCTAAAGGCCCAAGAGGCAGTCCAGTCAACTGAAGGCCTGGAGAGCAGTCCATATAGGTTGTAGGCCCTATGAGACAGTCCAGTCAGGCCGTAGGCTCGCATTTGCATGTTGTTATCTGTTTAGTTGTGTGTGGTATTTTGGGAGAACTCAATAAGCTTTGGCTTACAGTTTAAGTTTTATGTTCCAGGTACTTCAGATGATCGAGGCAAGACGAAAGCTTGATCATACACATCATTAGTTTTTATGAGATTGATTTTAGGATACTCTGATTTGTGATTTTGACTTTTGGAAACTAAGTTTTGGAAACATTTATGGTTTGTGGTTTGGTTTTGAAAAATAAAAATTTTATCTTGATTTTGGGATGTTACACAATCTAAACCTTACCAACATACCCCCAACCATAATGTACCCACACATCCCTAATAATATTTAAAATAACTTTAAAAAAAATCAATATTTTCTTTCCCAAAAACAACTATAACCCTATTTAAAATAACAAAAATTGGAAGAGAAATTGTTGGAAATGTCCCAATATTTTCGGAAAAGTTTCAATTTAGTCTTATTCTTTTTTGAACATAAAAGTTCAGATTATTTGATTTTACACGATAATACGTCATTTCCTATTAAAAGAATAAAATATATATATTTTTTAATTTGAGCCAAAATGAAATAATCGAGACTTTTATGTTTAAACTTTTTTTATTTTGAAACCAAAGTGAAATTCTTCCAAAAACATTGAAACTTTTCTTACAATTTCCCAAATTAAAAAATAAAAAGTCACACAAAATACACAACCAAAGATATTTTCTATTTTTTTAAATCATAAAATACAAACTCAAAAGTTCTACCCAAATCCGTTTTTTTTTTTTTTTTTTTTTAAATTCTACATTATTTTTCGAATTCTTTTTCCAAATGCAACTTAAGTTTTTTTTTTCGTGGTATAAAGTGTGAAGTCTAAAAGATGTTGGGTTAGAAGTGAATCACGAAAGAGTTTGAGGGTTGGAGCTGTCAAGTTAAACATTATTTTGACGAAACATGCGTTATGAGATAAGGACAATACACTATTAACCCAAAAGATATTCGAGCTCAGTTAACATAACTCGATACGTAGCTCTCATATTATAGGATTTTCTAGTGATTTCCTCTTTCTTTGTTATTGAATTAAGATCAATCTCCTAATTGTGTAATATCTGAGTTCTTGTAGCCTTGATAAGAGTGTGAAAAAGCTCATGGTTAATGTTTCTTGTCAAGTTGTTATTGTAAGAGCTTCAGTTTGATTGCATGTTTAGTACTTAATCAGTCGAGTTTTTGGTTGATTTATTATTATTATTATTATTATTATTATTATTATTATTATTATTATTTTGAAAATATTTGGTTTAGAAATAGGGAATTTGTTTCTCACATCTTAAATATTGTTTAGAGCTGTTGTATGATTTTTGGATGCTCGGGTGCAAACCGACATCAACACAATTGGATATAAATTATATTGGTTCTTTACACGGTGTCAACTCTAGTGTTGTGTTACTTAATATCACTAAGTATCAACAACTTGTTGGGAAATTATTTTATTTTGACTATAACTCATCAAAACATTTATTTTTCCTTTTTAAGCTAATTTATGCATAGTCAAAGAGTTTCTTATGTATGATTAGCTTTGAGTAAATGCTCTCCTGGAAAGGGAGTCAACATTAACATGTATGCGTCTTGAAGTCATCAAGCCTATGTTGAGGCTGATAGGGTAAATGTGTTAATGCTATAACATCTATAGCTTGGTAGTTGGTACTCCTTGTTTATAGAAAGTTCGATGATTAATTGGGAAAGTAAGAAGCAAAACAATATATCTAGATCCTTCAATGAATATGAATATAGGTCTATGACTTCTCTTGTGATATTTCATGGGTTCTAAAGCTTTTAAAAGATTTAACATTTGAAAAAGTTGCTTCCTGTTATTATTATGGGTGATTAGGAAATCCAATTAGTTTTGAATCCTATTCTCCATGAACAAACACACCACATGAAAATAGACATGTATTTGGGTTGTGAAAAGGTTGCTTCATGGAATTGTTAAAATTGTAAAAGTTGATTCGTTGTAAAATTGGTTTGTTAAAGGAAAAGGCGAACATTTTCATGAAATCATTGAGTTTAAGTCAACACAATGTTTTGTGTGAAGGGTTGTTTACGTTAATCCTTTCTCAATTTGCTTTTGAAAAACAAGTTTTTGTTTTTTTTTTTAATGTATAAAGTGGTAAGTCTAAAAGACGAGGGATTAGAAGTGAATCAGGAAAGAGTTTAAGGACTGAAGCTGTCAAGTGGAGCAGTATTTAGAAGAAATACGTGCTACTGTACGGGGAAAAGGACAATACGCTATTGAACTGGAGGATATTCGCGCTCATTTCACATAACTGCTCTCACATTTTAGGGTTTTCTCGCTGATTTCCCCTTTTCGTTGTTCTTGCATTCTGGTAGTGTAATCGGAGTTCTTGTCGGTGTATCCATGGCAATCCGAGCTCCAAGTAGGAGGTACCGAGCTCTTTGCACCTATCCGTTTAGCCTCGGACGTAGCTTTTGGTTAAAGGCGTAAGTTTCTTGTCAAAGTTACTGTTCTTGTAGGAGTTTGAGTTTGATTGTTTGTTAAGTTCTTAACCAGTCGAGTTTTTGGTTGATTTTGTCGAATGCAACAGTAAACTGGGAGGAATGCAACATCGAGTGAAGAGACAGAGACCCACAATCTCGAAGTCGAAGGAAGCGGATGGATCTCAAAACCCTAACCCTACACATGGTCAGACTGATGAACAATCCAAGGTTTTGAATGGTGCTGCAGAAGGAACTACTTCGCGTTCCATATATGTACACGTTGTTGGTGCAGAAATCGTTGACGAAACAGAGGGTGATACAAATCTTTCAGTAAGATCTCAACCCTTTTTTTTTTGCTTTCGTTTCCCTAGGTTTTTGTTTCCATGTTGTATAGTAGTACTGAATACTTTCAGATCTGAAGCTTTAAAGCTAAGATTAATGGAAACCAGCATATACAACGTTTTAAGGAAATATGTTGCTAAGAATTGATCAGTTGGAATGTAGATAATCATTACATGAAACCAAGAATAATATCATTTGTACATTAACTGGTCCAATCATAAGCTTGAAATTTTTGGTTCATGGCTGCTTAATTGTTTGAAAGTGAAACTATAACAGTACAAATTAGGTTAAATACTCAATGGAGTCTTGTAGTTGAATTTATTTTAACAAGTGAAATAGAAATAGGGATGGATGATGGTAATTGCTATTTAATACTCATCAACTTAATTTATTACTTTTGATGCAGGGATATGATGATGTTGATGAAAGTATTCACAACGTGACGACAATCAGTCTAGAATATCAGCTTGTGAAAAACGTACTGATACTTCTAAAAACCAACCTTTTACATTCCGCACTAAATGCACGTAAGCAACATCATCATCATCATCATCATCATCTAATATCTATTTCATCATTCAATGCATCCATTCATGGATTTTGTGAATGTGTGTGAAATAGGTATTTTAGGTGAAGCAGGTCAAGAGCATGTGTTGAGGGTTATCACCGGATCTTCAAAATCTAAAAAGGCGGTATGTATGGATTCTAAAATTATATTAAATGATATTATTATTTTAATTAATATTATGTGGGGGATGGATTGTTATAGATTGTTGAGTACTTAGAGACAGAAAACATTGCATGGAGCGAAGAGAATGACAAAACAATCCTGCGGATTAAAATTAATGGGTAGGTTTCCGTGAAAACTAAACCCGACCCATATGATATGACCCACGACCCGTTTATATGTATTTTGTTTGTTTGTGCAGTGACAAAAAGTTTGAGGTGATGAGAATCAGTCTACGTGGACTGCATGTGGAACATGCAATGGAGGTTCTGCAACCTTTCGTGTCATTAGCTGCATTTGGTGGAGGTAATAATAATAATAATAATAATAATAATAATAATAATAATAATATCTATTTCATCATACATACATAAACATAATTAAATATTTTAATCAATGGATTTATTATGATGTTGAACAGTTCTGGGGGAATTGAAAGTTGTGACTGGATCTGAGAGGAGTTCAAGCATTCAACAGACGGTATGTTATGTATGAATTATTTATGAAATTATATTAAAGGATATTATTATTTTAATTAATTATTATGCTGTGTGGGATGAATATTGAATATGATTGTAGGTTATTGAGTATTTGGAGAGAGGGAATATGGAATGGAAAGAAGAAAACAAAGCAACTTTGGTAATCAAGTTTCCCCCCAATGACATGCTGACTCGCATCTTCCAAATGATTTGAAGATTGTGTTCAAAAATCAATTTGTGTATATGAATATGATGCGTTTTTTGAAACTCACAAAATCTTTTCTTTGTATATTCTACCATGCATTTTGTGCATATTTCTGAAGCTGCTATGCTATGCTATGGTTTAGGTTTCTTACTTTAATACTTTTGTCTTCATTTTCTTTGTATATCGAGTATGTTAAGAGTTTTGGTACTTGTGGTTTGCATCTTTATAAAGGTTACTGTTAATGTGACTTTGTTATTAACTATAATAACTTTTTTTTAGCAAATCTGAATGAATTGCAATTAGTGATTTGTTTGGCTGTTTCTATTTGGTTTGGGTTTGGAGATTCTTTCAAAAGAATTGGAATTGGTTTCTATTTGTCAAAGATTTGGAAAGTAGCTTACGTAATATGACCAAAATATTATTTTATTAATTTTTGTAACTTATTATTATTTTTAACAAATGATGATACTTCCATTCGATTAACGTTTTCATTTATTAAACTTGTAAAATCTCAAATTTATGTTTTTTTCTTAAGTTTGCACATAATATATAGAATAAAAAGATAATCTTACAAAATGAAAATATATAATTGTACTTATAAAAGCAATTAATAAATATCTTGCTTTGAGGCCATGTCTAGAGGCATATAGTTAGGAGTTGGGTGCATATTTAAAGAGTTAAAGAAATAATCATAGGTATTCATCTTTGTGCGTACTTGTCCAACCGCAAACAAAGGTGTGGGAGTAAGGGTTTAGTGATGGTGGTAGTTTTTTTTTTTTTTTTTTTCAAAAGCAATATTAATCATATTTAAAAAAACAAATTGAAAAACAAAAACCGATAGAAAATACAAAACCATGTTTTTAAATTTTATAAAACGGAAAATGAAAACTCAAAAGTTTTAACCAAACATGTTTTCTAAATTTTCTAATGAAATCTGAAAATGAAAACTCTACTCATTAATTTTTTTTTTTCCAAAAAAAACTGAAAACAATTTTTCGAAATCATATACAACATAAGATTTTGATTTTTTTTTGTTTTTAGGGTATAAAGTGAGAAGTGTAAAATATGTTGGGTTAAAGTGAATTAGGAAAGCCTTTGAGGACTGACTTTTGTCAAGTGGAACAATATTTTGAAGACAATAAATTAAATTGTGTCCTATATCTTTTATGTCTATAAATATTCCTACTCACTAACATTGTGACATGTGCCATTATTCCACCATTCAATTTAATTTTATTTGATATATTCATAATATAATTTTAATGAAATAGTTAAGTAAATATGGAACGATGACACATATCATGATTTTAACGAGTAGAAATATTTGTAAGCATAAAAGGTAGGAAACAATTTTATTTTTGAAAAAATGATACAAATAGTCCTCATTGTTTCAGATCCATCACACTTGGTCCTTTTTTCCCGCTACCATCTATGGACATTTTATCCTTATTTTGAAATTTTTTTTTTACCAATTTTGTCATTTGTGATTTTATTTATTTATGTTATTTAGAGTAAATCTATTGTTCAACAGCACCACCTGAAATTAAAATGAAAACCCCAAATCCAGATAATTGAAGAACATAAACGGAAATATTAGGTGTGACAAATGATGGTTGATCGATGGTGGGAGGAAAACAACCACAAAGGTGGAGGGGAAATAATGTCTAAGAATTTGAGAGAGAGAGAGAGAGAGAGAGAGAGCAAAAAACAACATTGGCTTAGGGTTTTCTATCTAGCTTATTCACAATTTTAACTTGGACTTGGTAGAAAATTATAATTGTTTTAGGAGAAAGAACTAATATAATACATTTTGAAATCTTGAGGACAATTGACATCATTTTATTATTATTATTATTTTTAAATTTACTAAATCTTCATAAATATACAAACCATATGGTTATGGACCAAAACTGTAATTTACTCTAGCAATTCATAATTTTGTTTCAAGTAAAAATATTTGAATCATGTAATATCAATGAGGTTTTTATTGTTATTAATAAAATAAACATTAATTAATTAATTTCTTTTAACAACAAACTAAATTTATTAACCAAACTAACAAGGGGTAGTCTGCAAAAAGAAATAACTGGATCAAATCAGATGAGAGTTTTTAAGCCAATGAGACCAACCAAGAGTGAATTTATATGTTTACATGGGGTGTCCATGGACATCCTTTAGTTTCAAAAACTTCTATTTTAAGATTTGACTGATTAAGAGCTTTCGATCCATATAAGGCACGCATCGAAGGACCTTGCCGCGTCCATTATATGGTGTGCATCACGTTTTGTTTGAGATTAAGTCAATAAAACATAATTAAGGGAACAAAACCCAAATGTAAAAAAGATTGGTTAAATATTAGCAGGTTATTGAATTTGACTTTTATATTAACTACTTGCACCACTACTAAAATGATGCATTTTATTTGGTCATATATACGTAAAAAGATTTGTTTAATATTAGCAAATTATTATATTTAACTTTTAGATTAAGTACTTGCACCACTACTAAAATGATGAATTTTATTTGACCATATATGTAAAAAAGATTTGTTAACTATTAGCAAGTTATTATATTTAAGTTTTAAATTAACTACTTGCACCGCTATTAAAATGATGCATTTTATTTAGTCTCACACTCTTACTTACTTACTTACATACACACAGGCGCACAAACACACACACACACACACATATATATATATATATATATATATATATATATATATATATATATATATATATAATGAAGTTCAACAACAAACTCAAATTAGGAGAACAAACTAACGAATTCAATAAAAATCTTCAAATTCAATTTATTTTCCGATTGACACCTCATTCGCACTTTCTATCTCCTCTCACATTATCATTAAGTCACCTTTCTCAATCAATTGATGAAACTCAAAAGTTTAATAATGTTTTTGTGAAACAAATATGAAAAAAAAAACAATGCATCAATGAAATGCATAACATTTTTTAAAAAAGTTTACTTGAAAGAAAAACAAAAAGCGAAGTTTGTTATATGTAAATGTAGTTGGGATGGATTCTCAATGGCTCCAATGTCTGTCATTGGTGGCTATTCAATGGCCAATTGGAAAAAAAAACATCAATTTCGTGAGTAAATCCTCTCTCTGTATTGATATAATTTTTTGTTTTTGTATTGTATTTTCAAGAATTTGTTTGATATAGCGATTTTACTCTGTATTCCTATAATCATAAGTAATGCTCCATTTTGATTTCTGTATCAATCATGTCTTGTTACTTGTATGTTAAAAAATCTTTCATGGTGAACATGTCTTTGTAATGATCACAGTGGGTAAGGAACTAATTTTACATGAAAGTTTCCTTAAATATAATTTTATTGCACGCAAACTATTTGTTAAATTGCTCAATTTCTTTATTTGAATCAAATATTGGTACATATTGATATAACTAATTAACAAGTTTCTTAATGTCAAATGCATAATGCTCTCGACTGAACAATAAAGATATAAACATTTTTTCAATTAAACATGCATTAGATTGATGCATATGTTTTTTATTTTTTTTCCAGCATTATATTATTTTTTTTACTCAACTTTAAACATACATAACTTCTTCATATGATCTCGGAACGAAGACATTTATTTCTAGATTCTAGTACTTTGTGTGAGTTTCTTTTTAAGCTTAAAAAACATCTTAATATGTTAAGAATTGAGTGACTTATACAACTCTAAATAGGGGTTGGATTTTTACTTTTTGTTTCAACATATTATAACTTTTTACTTAATTTTGAACATACACAACTTCCTCATATAATGTCAGAACAAGCTAATTTTTTTTTCTAGATTGTAGTACTATGTGTGGGTTTCATTTTAAGCTAAAAAAACATCTTAATATATTAGGAATTAACTGGCTTATACAACTCTAAACAAGGGCTGTTGAGTTTTTTACTTTTTGTTTAAGCATTTTATTATTTTTTTCACTAAACTTTGAACTTACATAAATTCCTCATATAACGTCAGAACAAGATAATTTTTTCTTTCTAGATTGTAGTACTCTGTGTGGACTTCATTTTGAGCTCAAAAAATATCTTAATCTGTTAAGACTTCACCTACTTATATAATTTTGAATATACACTCTTGATATGTGTTCTTTTCTTTTCTTTTTATTTGCATTTGATAAAAACACACACACACACACACATTGGATTATCCTTTTCTGTCCCATTTGATCGAGCCCATATAAACAATTGAAATTTGATGTTATTTATGACCTTGTTAAATTTGATAAAATTCCAAAAATGCCCTTCCTTTCATGCCGTGGGAAAAATTCCCATCAATTTCTTACAATTTGTCCCTATCTTTCCAGCCTCGTAATTACGCCACATAAACTCCGATTTCGACAAACTTTATATCGTTGGAAACCCTGTTAAGAGTACTACAAGTTACATATTAGTGTTTCATCTGAATGTTTGCGGATACAGAGTTATTCAGCCGTGAACATGGAGGTCTGAACGTTTCAACATTTTCATGTGTTTGAACAAGCAACTTCAAACAACCATATTTCATTCGTTACATATCCGTTTTTGTGATTCTTTTTCCCGTGCACTCCTCGTTTTATAGATTATAACTTTACTTTATAAAGTTATATCTAATCAACTACGAATATTGACTTATTATTCTCCAAAGTTGACATTTTTTTGGCATAATCGGTGGAGTTTACAACAACCTATTTCTCATGGATTATCATAGATTTGCTTCAAAGATGGTGTTTTTAGAGTTGATGCAAGCTTACTCTAAAAGTTAATATTTCAATTGATTTATTCGTTTTCATTTTTCTTTTTAACTACATGCACATTTCTTATATTTTCCGAGAGAAATCATACGAGCACTTCAAATTTGATGTGAAGCCAAATATTTTTAATATAAACTCATTATGTGTTATCTTTTCTATTAAATATTTTTATTTTAATATTAATTTTGAAATATAAAGAATATTTTCCTTGATTTGAAATAAAAATTATTATTATTATTTTTAAATTAGTATATATTCATAATATACTTATTCTTATACATATGCATATACTTATTCTTATGCATATGCATGTACTTATTCAAATGCATATGAATATATTTATTCATATACATATACATGTGCTTATTCTTATGTATATAGAGAAATTAAAAAATATCTTTCACATATGTTTTTTTTAAATGTGCATATACACAATTTTTTT